TATTCATGTATTTGTCAAGACACCCTTTAAAAGTCACTATCGTCTCTGCTTCCACTACTTCTCCTGGCAGCAAGTTCCAGGCACCCACCATCCTCTGTTTAAAAAAAAAAAAAAAATGCCTCGCACATCACCTTTAAACCTTGCCCCTTGCACCTTGAACCTATGCCCCCTAGAAACTGACTCTTCCACCCTGCGAAAAACTTCTGACTGTCCACTCTGTCCATGCCCATCATAATCTTGTAGACCTCTATCAGGTCCCTCCTCAACCTCCGTTGTTCAAGTGAGAATAACCCAAGTTTCTCCAACCTCTCCTCATAGCTAATGCCCTCCGTACCACGCGACATCCTGGTAAATCTTTTCTGCACCCTCTTCAAAACCACCACATCCTTCTGGTAGTATGGTGACCAGAATTGAGCACAATATTCCAAATGCAGCCTAACTAAGGTTCTATAAAGCTGCCAATTTTTAAACCCAGTGCCCCGGCCAATGAAGGCAAGCATGCCATATGCCTTGTTGACTACCTTCTCCACCTGTGTTGCCACATTAAGTGACCTGTGTACCTGTACACCCAGATCCCTCTGCCTATCAGTACGCTTAAGGGGTCTGCCATTTACTGTATATTTTCCATCTGGATTAGACCTTCCAAAATGCATTACCTCACATTTTTCTGGATTAAACTCCATCTGCCATCTCTCTGCCCAAGTCACCAACCGATCTATATCCTGCTGTCTCCTTTCACGGTCCTCATCACTATCCGCAATGCCACCAACCTTTGTGTCATCGGCAAACTTATTAATCAGACCAGTTACATTCTTCTCCAAATCATTTATATATATATATATCCAACAGCAAAGATCCCAACACTGATCCCTGAGGAACGCCACTAGTCACAGCCCTCCATTCAGAAACACACCCTTTCGTTGCTACCCTCTGTCTTCTATGACCGAGAATTTTTTTTTTATCCATCTTGCAAGCTCACCTCTGACCCTGTGCGACTTTACCTTCTGTAGAAGTCTACAATGAGGGACCTTGTCAAAGGCCTTACTTAAGTCCACATAGACAGCATCCATTGCCCTACCCTCATCGATCATCTTCGTCACTTCCTCAAAAAACTCAACCAATTTAGTGAGACAAGACCTCCCGTTCACAAAACCATGTTGCCTCTCGCTAATATGCCCACTTATTTCTAAATGGAAGTAAATCCTGTCTCGAAGAATCCTCTCCAATAATTTTCCTACCGTTGACATAAGGCTCACCGGTCTGTAATAAGCTGGATTATCCCTGCCACCCTTCTTAAAGGAACAACATTGGCTATTCTCTAATCCTCTGGGACCTCCCCTGTAGCCAGTGAGGACACAAAGATTTCCCTCAAGGCCCTAGCAATTTCCTCCCTTGCCTCTCTCCGTATTATGGGGTATATCCCATCAGGCCCGGGGAGTTGTCTACCTTTTATGTTTTTTAGGATCCCCAATACCTCCTCCCTTTTGATCTCAACATGACCCAAACTATCTACCCTTCCCCAGACTCATCATCCAAGTCCTTCTCTATGGTGAATACTGACGCAAAGTACTCATTCAATACCTCGCTCATTTCCTCTGGCTCCACACATAAATTCCCTTCCCTGCCCTTGAGTGGGCCAACCCTCTCCCTGGCTACCCTGTTGATCTTTATATATGTTTAAAAAGCCTTGGGATTTTTCTTAATCCTGTTGGCCAATGACTTTTCATGATCCCTTTTAGACCGCCTGACTCCTTGCTTAAGTTTCTTTCGACTTTCATTGTGTTCCACCCTTGCTTTGTGTGTTCCCAGCCTCCCAGCCTTGACAAATGCTTCCTTTTTTCTTTTGACTAGGCTCACAATATCTCTCGTTATCCAAGGCTCCCTAGACTTGCCATACTTGTCCTTCATCCTTACAAGAATGTGCCGGTCCTGAGTTCCCAGCAATTTACACTTGAAAGCCTCTCATGTACCAGATTTTGATTTGCCCTCAAACATTTGCCTCCAATCTACATTTTTCCGTTCCTGCCTAATATTGTTGTAATTAGACTTCCCCCAATTTAGCACCTTCACCTGACAACTACACCTATCTTTATCCATCAGTACATTAAAGCTTACTGAATTGTGATCACTGTTCCTGAGATGCTCCCCTACTGAGACATTGACTACCTGGCCAGGCTTATTCCCCAATACTAGGTCCAGTACGGCTCCTTTCCTGGTTGGACTATTTACACATGTTTTAAGAAGCCCTCATGGATGCTCCTTACAAATTGTGACTTATCCGCGCCCCAAGCACTGAGTGAGTCCCAGTCAATATATGGGAAGTTAAAATTACCCACGACAACAACCCTGTTACTTTCACATCTTGCCAAAATCTGCCTACGTATCTGTTCTTCTATCTCCCACTGGCTGTTGGGAGGCCAATAGTAAACCCCAAACATTGTGATTACACCGTCCCTGTTACTGTGTGAGCCATCCGAGGTGTCCTCCCGCAGTACAGCTGTGATATTTTCCTTAACAAGTAGAGCTACTCCCCCACCACTTTTAAATTCCCCTCTATCATTCCTGAAATATCTGTATCCTGGAACTTTAAGCTGCCAATCCTGTCCCTCCCTTAACCAAGCCTCTGTAATAGCAACAACATCATCATTCCAAGTATTAATCCAAGCTCTAAGTTCATCTGCTTTACCTGCTACACTTCTTGCATTGAAACAGATGCATTCAGTCCACCAGACCTGCTTTGATGAGCAACCACACCCTGCCTGCTCTTCCTCTGAGTCTTCCTGGTCCTATTCTCTAGTTCCCTTTCAGTCAATTCACCTTCGCTTTGGTTTCCACCCCCTGCCAAGCTAGTTTAAATCTTCCAGACTGACTCCAGCAAACCTCCTAGCCAGAATATTTGTGCCCCTCCAGTTTACATGCAACCTGTCCTTCTTGTACAGGTCCCACCTGCCCCAGAAGAGATCCCAATGGACCAGATATCTGAAACCCTCCCTCTTACACCTTGTGTTTAGCCATGTGTTGAGCTGTACCATCTGCCTATTTCTAGCCTCACTGGCACATGGCACAGGAGTAATCCCAAGATTACAACCTTGGAGGTCCTGCTTTTTAACTTTCTATCTAACTCCCTGAACTGTTACTGCGGGACTTCATCACTCATTCTACCTATGTTGTTGGTACTAATATGTACCACAACCTCTGGCTGTTCACCCTCTCCCTTCAGACTGCATTCTGCCTGTTCAGAGACATCCTGGACCCTGACACCAGGGAGGCAACATACTGCCCTGGAGGCTCTTTCACATCCACAGAAGCACCTATCTGCGCCCCTAACTATCAGAGGCCCCTACAACTACTGCTGTAGTGCTGTTTGTCATTCCCTCCTTAAAAACAGAGCCAGCCAGTCTGGCTACTGCTGCTGTTACCCCCTGATGGGTCATTCCCCGCCAACCTCCCCAACAGTATCTAAAGTGATATACTTGTTAGAGAGGGGCACGACCACAGGGGGATTCCTGCACTGGCTGTCTGCCCTTTCTAGCGATTTCCCCCATCTACCTGCTTGCACCTTGGGTGTCACCACATCTCTAAAACTCCTGGCTATGACGCTTTCCACCACTCTCATGCTTCTAAGTGCATCTAATTGCCGCTCCAACCTATCCATGCAGTCTGTGAGGAGCTGCAGTTGGGTGCACTTCCTGCAAATGTAGTCGTCCAATATGCTGGAAGTGTCGCGGATCTCCTACATCTCACAAGTGAAGCACTTAACCACACTGACTGACATTCCTATCCCCAATCAAGCTGTTCAAGAAAATGTATTAAACACTTACCATTACTTATTGCTGCAAATACCTGAGGTAGGTCTTCCCTCACTCACCTTCCCAGGATGCTCTCTGAATCTCTTCCTTTTCCTTGCTTCTGGTCCTCACAGTGGTGTCTGTGTGCCTTTTTTTGGTTAGAGGAGGAGGTAGGGAGGGAAACACTGAAGAAATACAGATACAGAAAAATAAGACTTTAATAGCAAATAGTGAGACAATAAAGCTTGAATGCCATTTCAACCAGAGTAAGTACGTCAGTTTAAACTAAATGATAACAAATAGGGAGCTTGTTTTCTGCTTTTTATTTTGTTTGGCATAGCTTCTTGACTGTCATTATTCAGTGAAATCAAAATTAACTAGAAATGAATACTGAAAATAAAGTGCAACATTCAGTCACTTGTGGCATTCGTTAAGTACAGGTGATGCTAAGAGCTTGTCCTCTTTAGACTGAGTAACAAATGAATAGGTCTTCTGCCAAAGTGTTAACTGTGTTCCGGTGCTATCAAATTTCCCAGAGGTGTGAATCCTGACTGCCACAAGACAAAGTCCAAGCAGAAATTTCGCCGTCAATAGATCTCTCCCATTTAGCTGGAAAATCTTGCTACAACGGAAGAAGAAGCAGAACAGGAAGTACAGTATGAGTCGGCCACAGTTTTGCAGAAATTTGGTCAGAACTGACAGGAAAGCATGTCTGTGCCAAGCCCTTACAACGTATTAGAAAGATTTGGGATCTTCATCACCTCTGTCCTAGACCTATTGGAAAAGGAGTGACTGGCAGACAGGCGAAAATTTAGTTATACATAGTGTTAGCCACATTGTCAACATTTAATGTGGATAGCCAAGGAAGGAGGTGATTGGAGGTGGTTCTTTTGTGCTTTGGGTGGGAGGTAAGAGCGGTCAGAACCACACTTTCTTGCATAAATTTTGATTCAGCAGACATTAAAGAAAATCCAGCCCATGGTCTTAAATCTTTCTTTAGACACAAAAAGGATAGTGTTTTATTGAAAAGAATGCTGCTGACAACTTAATTTACTCTTTCAATGAAAATGATTTTCTAGTGCACCTAAATTTAATGAATGTTATTTAGTTTTTAATTTGTTTATTTAGGATGCTTTTATGGGGACAAGCAAAGATACATACTTATCTTGGACCATAAGGTTCCTGAATGTAATATGTTTGTGTTTTATTTAGCAGAAGACTTGCAGTGGAGGGAGCTGATAACCAGACTTGTACAGGTACTTCTAAAAGATATCAGCTCTGCAATATACAGGTCAGTGAAACTGTTTTCTGCAGATATAGCTTAGATGTTATAGTAAGGTCAATATAGAAAGAAACACCTAATGAATGAAAGTGTGTCACATGCAAAGCAGACAATTGCCAGGAGTGTCCTACGAAGAACAGATAATAGTTGAGAACATTCAGAGTGTAACAGGCATAGAAATTCTGCTTGGGAAGTATTGTATCAACCAACAGTATGCTCATTTTTAAAAAAAATACATTCATTTGATGTGGATGTCGCTGATTGGCCCAGCATTTATTGCCCATCCCTCATTGCCCATGAAAAGATGGTGTTCAGCTACCTTCTGCAGCTGCAATCCATTTGCTATAGGTAGAACCACAATATCATTAGGGAGAGAACTCTCTAATTTCTGAATGACTGACCTTCAGTTCCTTTGTCTTCCAGACGGTGATATAGGGTGTATAGCACAGCAAGGCATATAACAGGTGCCTGATGAGTGTAATTCTACTCTTTAGCATTGGGGAACAATGCATTATTTTCTTCATGCTCTTGCTGGCCGATGTCAATGCCCTTTTATTAGTGTGTTTTTTTTTCCCCCTGGATCCCTTTTACTGCCATACTCAGTTTAGATTAGTTATTTTCTAGTTGGTGTCCAACTGCTTTATTTTTCTTCTTTTATTACCGCGTTCCTATATGTTCATGGATATTTTTCCTTGTGTTACTAATTGACCCATTGTTCTGTTTACTATCTGTTGACTGTACAATCACTTTTGGGCTCCTTTTTATGTTATTGATTAACCTGTCTTCTTACTTCCTCTTTGATCCCCATTATCCCTATTTTAGAGCTTGTCTATAGTTTTATGATCAGCCATTTACAACTGAGTGGCTTGCTGGGATATTTCAGAGCAAAGTTAAGAGACAGCCCTGTTGCTGTCTGGTGTCATACATAACCCAAATAGTGTAAAAACAGCAGAGTTCCTTTCTTAAAGGACATTAGTGAACCAGATGTGTTTTTAACATCAATCAGCAGTAGTTACATTACTAATACCAGGGGGCAAGACATTAATGTCCTGATGTTGAGCAAACTCATTTTGGCCAGCTAAATATGGAGGCAGTCCCCCAGGCAATTACCACCAGTTACCATTTCAACCAGCAAGGGAAGCATGTTGAGCCACGTCTTGTTAAACATTCAAAGTGACTTTGGGCTCAGCCTTTTTAAATGCTTTTATTAATCTTGAATTTCCCTGAAAGCCTATGGATGTGCTGTAGACTGTAGTCTGCTGTATGGTCACACCCAAAGCTATTCAGTTACAAAAGTCAGTTTGTGAAAACTGTTCTCCAGAAAGGTTCCTACTCTGCCTGACTTTCTGTAACTTGGTGAATGGTCTTTCACTTATTGTACTCCCAAAATTCAGTAATTGTGGAATAATCACTTCAGCCTCCTATACGAGCAGCAATGGATCCTACATTCCTGAAGCTGAATTCCTGAGCTTGAGTTTGAACAACTGGAGGGACATCCTGCAGATGTGCTTTCACAGCAACATAATGTGTCTTGGAGTCCCTGCATGGCAAGTTTAACTCAACAAGTCAATTTGATATTATAGAGAATTACACACCAATAACGACAGGACTCCATTTCCACTCAGCTTACTCTGCAGGGTTTCTCACCACCTGGAGAGAAAATAGAGGGGATAAATGAGGTTACTGTGGTCTGTGTTGGAATAAATGTTGGGTAGGATCAGGGAAGAGGTTCTGCTGAGACAACAAGTAGTGTGGAGGCCAGGTCATTGAGTACATTTAAGACTGAGATAGATAGGTTCTTGATTATCAAGGGCTACAGGGAGAAAGCAGGAGAATGGGGTTGAGGAACTTATCGGCCATGATTGAATGGTGGAGCAGACTCGGTGGGCCGAATGGCCTAATTTCTGCTCTTATGTCTTATGGTCTTGTTTCACTTTTGGATTTGACTTGTCCAATGTTGGTGTCAGCAAGGATCATGATTCTACCATAACTGAACAGCAAATGGAAGATTCTCACCCACTCTTCTTGACATAAAACTATTCCACTCAGGAAACAAATTTGCAATTATGTTTGTTTGTCAAATGGTCCATCTTTGCCTGAGTTCATTACACACATTGCTGTCTGCTTTCTGCACCTCTTTTTAGGTCATACTGCAGATCCTTTTTCTCTATATATTTTCTCCAAAAACACCTTTGTTACCTTATCCTTTATTAATCCCTTTCAAAAACCCTCTATTGCTCTTCAGAAGATGCCATGGAACCTTTTACATTTCACTCGCAAGGGAAGATTAAATCAAGATTCTATGTAATCCAAAAGACAAGACTTCCAGCACCACCTCGCTACTAAATTTGGATGTCAGAATAGATTTGGTGCTCAACTATCATTGGCCAGACTTTGTTTTGTCGACTTACTTATTACTGTTTAGGTTAATGATTGCAACTATGTACAACAAATATCTGTCCTCTAAAATACTGAGTCCATGTGCCACCGGTTGAAGATAGGGCTTTCTAGCAGCACCTGTTTAACATGTTCTAAAATGCTTCACAAACGACTTGGAAAGTGCAATCACTATGTTGCAAAAATGTGGCAGCCAACTCTAAAGCAACAAATTACAACTTTAGAGATAGTAGGAACTGCGGATGCTGGAGAATCTGAGATAACAAGGTGTAGAGCAGGCCAAGCAGCATCAGAGGAGCAGGAAGGCTCACGTTTCGGGCCTAGACCCTTCTTCAGAAAAATGAAAAAATTACAACTTTACATACCTTTGTAATCTGTTGCAGGAGTGCCCAGCTAATGGGAGAAGCTTTCGTGATGAGCAGTGTTCATCTTTTAACTCCCGGGTTTATAATGGAAGGACTTACAAATGGACACCGTTATATCCAGGTGAGGAAAGGTGCATGTGTTGCAAAGTAATTATTCTTTTACACATGTTTTAAAAAATGATTAAATACATTCGGTGAAAATTTGGGGAGCAATCTGTTTTAAAGTTGCTAGGTGGCATCGTTCAGTTCAGCCCTGCGATAAGCTTAGGCTTTTCATCAAGCTTTTTGATAAGTCAGTCAGAACAGTTTGGGGGTCATTGAAGTGAAGTTCAAAGAGACAGACAGGCTGAGAAGCAGACTGTGCTAGGAGTGCTGATTTTTAACTGTCCTAGAGGGAAGGAGCCCAGATCTTTTGGACGGCCTGTGCCTTTCTTAAATAAAAAATGAGGAAGAAGTTTTAAGAATTAGGCAGCTAAGAGGTGGATCCAGGTCTCAGAACAAGTCTTGGGGACTGTGAAAGTGGGAAGGTTACTGACTTTGTACTGGGAGAGTAGTGCAAAGTTTGGAAGAAGTCTGCATGCATTAATTCTTCATTACAGTTGTGAATGTGGTGATTGAAAAGTCATGAGCAGTATTTGCTTGATGCATCTGTGCAAGTGTAGAGCTCTGGGAAATTCAGTGGCAGCTTTTAGCATAATATGGATAGCTGTGAGTGTGAAATTTGGACTTGTATAAGTTGACTAAGTGCTGGAGTGAAGTTTTTGAAGTCCCGGCAATGTGGACCCAGGTAAAGAGTGTGAACAAGCAAAACAGGAGCAGATGTTCAGGCTGTCCATGATGGAGCTGTTCATGTTAGTGAGTTTCTGGGCCAGATCAGTACGTTAAAGAGAGGTAATCCCTTGTGAAGTTTAATGAATTTTGATAACCTATCATGTAGCTAACATCTGAGGAAAGTTACTGAAAAATCCATGAGATCTACCTTGGTTGTATTTGCAATTTTTGTGTGCAGTGAGATATTTGATCACAGTATATTACCCACTTTCACCATGCTAATTCTAGGTGATGGAATGTATCAGCATGTATTGTAGATTATTTACTGTATGAACTTGTATAATAAAGTATTGGTGCTTGTTCGTTTCCATTGAATATTGTGACTATTATTTTAAGTCTCAGTCATACAGCATGGAAACTGGCCCTTCAGCCCAACTCGTCCATGCTGCCCAGACTTCCTAAACTGAACCAGCCCCATTTGCCTGCGTTCAGCCCATATTCCTCTAAACCTTGCCTATCCATTTACCTGTTCAAATGTCTTTTAAATATTGTAATTGTACTTGCCTCTACCACTTTCTCTGGCAGTTCATTCCATACATGCACCACCCCCTGTATGTAAATGTAGGCCCTATTTTAAAAATCTTTCCCCTCTCACTTTTAAACCTATGTCCTCAAGTTTTGGATTGCCCTACCCTGGGGGGAGAAAACCTGTTTCGTTATTCACTTCATCTATCCCCCTCATGATTATATAAGGTCACCTTTCAGCCTCCAATGGTCCAGGATAAAAAGGTCCCAGTCTCTCCTTTATAACTCAAAGCCTCCAGTCTCGGTAACTTCCCAGTTTAATAACATCCTTTCTGTGGTAAAATATGGCCTTAGCAATGTCTTGTACAGCCATAACATGATATCCCAACTCCTGTGCTCAGTGCTTTGACTGACGAAGGCAAGCTTTCTTCACCACCTTATTTACCTGTGATGCCACTTTCAAGAAACTATGTACCTGCAGCCCTAGGTTCGTCTGTTTGACAACTCTCCTTAGGGCCATACCTTTAACTGTATAGGTCCTGCTCTGATTTGCCTTATAAAATTTGAACGCTCACATTTACCTGAATTAAACTCTACAACCCATTTCCTGGCCCAGTTAACCAAGATCCCATTGTAATCTTGGATAACCACCTTCACTGTCCACTATGCCACAAATTTTGGTGTCATCTGTAAACTTACTAACCATGCCTCCTGTATTCTCATCCTAATCATTTTTATATAAATGATGAACAACTGGCCTATGACCAGCAGTATACCACCAGTCTGAACAACAACTCTGTACCACCACCCTCTGTCTTCTACTGTCAAATAATTTTGTATACACTCGGCTAGCTCTCCCTGGATCCCATATGATTTAACCTTACTAACTAGTCCATGATGTGGAACCTTGCTGAAGGCCTTGCTAAAGTCCTTCATCTTCTTGGCTACTCGAGTGATTGTAACAAGGTCAGCCAGGTGGACCTCCTAGATTGAGTTCCCTGATTGAGGCTGTTAACCTGGTCCAATCAGAGAGCCCTGGTTGACAGGTATAACCAGGAGTGTCAGAAGTTCTATTCATTGACAGCTGGAACTGAGGAACCTGGACCACTGTCAAGTACTATGCATGTATAAATAAAGGGTAACTTGGTAATGGGATACCGGCTGTTGTGGAGTTATTTCAGGCACCTCTTCAAAAAACATGGAATTCACACTTTGCCTATTTCAAAATACAAAGGTCACTGGTCCCCAACCAGACAGTAAGATAATGTAACGACCTCTTCTGGGAAGCTACTGGGAACCTCATTTGGGATTTTAACATAATTTGGGGACTCATACGGGATTTCAAATCCACGGACAAATATGACTCTTGGGATTTGCTGAACTTGAGGCTAGTTAAGATTTTTGCAGTGAATCCTAACAAACATGCAGTCCCTAGATTACAAACTAGTTCTTTTCTTGAGTCTGTTCACAAGTCGATTTGTATGCAAGTCTGAATGGAATGCAGGACAATGTAAGGTAGCTGTCTGGAAGTACAGGAAATGTTCCTATGTCAAATATTCAAAACCCCATCCCTGTATGGCATTGTATTCGTAAGTACAGGTATTTGTCACTGGGATGTTTGTAAATTGGGGAGCCCTGTAGCTATTGAAAAATGAAATGAAACCTTGCTTTGACTTTTCTGAAGAGTGAAGTTCTTTGCCTGAATAGTTTACAAAACTTGACCAAGGCTAGATTAATAGCATTTACATAAGTTGGGCTTGGCTTTCTTAGTCCTTGCTTTTAATTCTGATATAGTTGGCATAATAGTGCAGCATCTACAATTAGAAAATGAAGAGGAGTCAAACCTAAATGGAACAATTAGCTAGAATTTAGTTGCAGATAATGCAGCTTGAAATAGAAAGAGGAAGCAAATGTGTGAACTTAAACTTCAAACAGAGAAATCATGAAGCATGAACTTGAAAAGAAAAACTTGGGTTCTGGTCAGCAAAGAAGTCTAGTAGTTTGGATGAGGAGTGAAGTCCTTTTCGAAAGTTAGATCTTCTTTCCATCCCTTTTAATTTTCAGTAAAGCAGGTAGAGAGATGTTCTGCCATTTGAGAGGCTCTAAACTTTTGAATTGCCCAAAGCACTCCTGGACTCTTATGCTACAAAATGTAAAGTGGTGCTTATTCTGTTCTTCTGAAAGACTAATCACTGAGATTTGACACTGCAGTAAGTAGTGCCTGTGAGTTTGTTCCTGAAGCTTACCAATTCAGATTTAGGACAGTAATGTCAAACATCATCAGATATCTGTGAATTCAGTACGGAAAAAAAAATGTTAATGTGATTGTGGTTTTGTTCATTGAATTTAGAGCAAACTTCTGAAAACGTTAAGGAAATCATAATTACAGAAGAATTTAGGACTAGCATTCTCGTAACAATTCCATTTTATTTGGATGAATCTCAGGTGTCTAAAGCCAAGGAGGCAGGCAGATCTGGCAGATGCATATAATGTTTCTCACTGACAAATAAGTGTTAGAAAGTATTTTTTTATGTGGAAACCAACGCAGTAGCTGGAGGAATCGACAAGACTTTGGCTTTAGGGCATAGCAGAAACTGTTGCAGATAGTAGAGAGGGGGAAAAACATAAGAATAGAGATGATGTTAGGGAACTCGTACATTTTCATTGCCTTAGGACAGAACATCTGAAAGCAAATTGTTGGAACCCAGGACCAAGAAACATTAGTATCAAAAATGCAAGAATGTTAAAGGCAGTTGCATAAACCATGTTCTACTAACAAAAAACTAATCAGTACAGTGAACCAACTTGTATACACAAGAACAAAAACAGAAGTTGCTGGAAAATCTTAGTGGATCTGGCAGCATCTGTGAAGAAAAAAAATCAGAGTTAACGTTTTGGGTCCGGTGACCCTTCCTCAATTCGTATTCTGACAGCTCAAAGGCAAAGGAAAGATGTGATGGATGCTAAAAAGCAGTTTTTCTAAGAAGATGAGGAACATCACCTTCACTGTTTCAGAGATAGTAGGAACTGCAGATGCTGGAGAATCTGAGATAACCAGGTGTAGAGCTGGATGAACACAGCAGGCCAAGCAGCATCAGAGGAGCAGGAAGGCTGACGTTTCGGGCCTAGACTTCATACTTCACAAGCTTCAAAATCTCCCCTCCCCCTACTGCATCCCAAAACCAGCCCAGCTTGTCCCCACCTCCCTAACCTGTCCTTCCTCCCACCTATCCCCTCCTCCCACCTCAAGCCCCACCCCCATCTCCTACCTACTAACCTCATCCCGCCCCCTTGACCTGTCCATCCTCCCTGGACTGGCCTATGCCCTTCTTAACTCCCCACCTACACTCACCTTTACTGGCTCCATCCCCGCCTCTTTGACCTGTCTGTCTCCTCTCCACCTATCTTCTCCTCTATCCATCTTCTATCCGCCTCCCCCTCTCTCCCTATTTATTTCAGAACCCCCTTCCGCTCCCCCATTTCTGAAGAAGGGTCTAGGCCCAAAACGTCAGCCTTTCTGCTCCTCTGATGCTGCTTGGCCTGCTGTGTTCATCCAGCTCTACACCTTGTTATCACCTTCACTGTGATTGATTGGTGCAACATCAGGCACAACAAGCAAGACAGGACTTCATTGACAAGCACTTCCAGCAGATGTGTGCTGGATGAAGTGATTGTCTGTTGTCCATAAACTTGTTGCTCAAAAGGCAAGCACCATCTGTTTAGTCCAAGATGCAAATGCAGCCTTTTTGTATGTTTATTCTTTCGTTGGTTTTCCAACAATAAAATTTAATGTTAACAACTGTTTGAAGGTTTTACCTTCAATGTGTGAAGCTCCCACACTTTACGTTATGTTGACACATAACAATGGGTGTTGGGGAAAGAACAGTGTGCTAAGCCAGGTAACCTCAGGAGCTTCATCCTTAAAGCAACAGCTACAAATAACATTGATTGGAATGTGATTTAATTCACAACTGTGTTTATAATGAAATGTAACCTGTGCCACCTGTCTGTCCTTGGAAACTTTCCTTTTTCATAGAAACATAGAAAATAGGAGCAGGGAGAGGTTATTTGGCCCTTCGAGCCTGCTGCGCCATTCTTCACGATCATGGCTGATCATCCAACTCAGTAGCCTAATCCTGCTTTCTCCACACAACCATTGATCCCATTCGCCCCCAAGTACTCTATCTAGTCGCCTCTTGAATACATTAAATGTTTTGGCATCAACTACTTTCAGTGGTAACGAATTCCACAGGCTCACCACTCTTTGGGTGAAGAAATGTCTCCTCATTTCCATCCTAAATCGTCTACCCCGAATCCTCATATGTGACCCCTGGTTTTGGACACACCCCACCATCAGGAACATCCTCCCTGCATCTACCCTGTCCAGTCCTGTTAGTATTTTATAAGTCTCTGAAATTCCCCCTCATTCATTTGAACTCTAGTGAAAACAGTCCCAACCTAGTCCATCTTTCCTCATGCGTCAGACCTGCCATCCCAGAATCAGCTTGGTAAAACTTCACTGCATTCCCCTAAGAGCAAGAGCATCCTTCCTCAGAAAAAGATAGCAAAATTACATACAATATTCCAAGTGTGGTGTCACCAAGGCCCTGTACAACTGCAACAACACATCCCTGCTCCTGTACTCAAAACCTCTTGCAATGAAGGCCAACGTACCATTTGCCTTTACCACCTGCTGGACCCGCATGCTTACCTTCGGCGACTGGTGGACAAGAACGCCCAGGCCCGCTGTGCACTCCCCTCTCCCAATTTACAGCCATTCCAGTAGTAATCTGCATTGTTTTTGCTGCTGAAGTGAATAACCTCACATTTATCCAAATTATACTGGATCTGCCATTGATTTGCCCACTCACCCAACCTGTCAAGATCATGCTGAAGAATCTCTGCATCCTTGTCACAGATCACCCTCCTAGCCAACTTGGTATTATCTGCAAACTTGGGAGATGTTACACTTTGTTCCCTCATCCAATTTTTAATTTCCCTTCTACTACGTCTGCTCTAAAGGGCTGTTCCTGACTTGCAGTGTTTTACCTGGTGCACAGTTGAGTTTTAAATATAGCACCAGAGGTGGTAAACCTAGATGGTTCTGGCAGCATGAGCATTTCTGCTGGTGAGCACAAGATGGTGTAAGAGCAGTGCTCTACAGGTGTGGTGCAAACTTGAGGTGAGCAATGGAGAATTGCGTGAGGAAACTTGCTAGAGCTAGAAACCCTCTATGAAATTCCCTGAAATTTAGCACTTAGGGCAGAATTTTACCAAAAATTAGCAATGTACACAATGTATGTGTAGGGACAGACAAAATTAGAACAGACCAGAAATAAAATTTATGTAGATTATATGTGAGGTGTCTTGCAAACGATTGTGTGCATGAGGTTTTGAATTTTTGTAAAAGTTTGGTACAATAAAAAACACTTATTTTAGTGTAGATTATTTTTTTTTAGCCTCTAAACACTTGTTTGTGAGAAATGCAGTGTTGCCACCAATGTTAAGTACTTAATGTACTTACTTAGGGATTAGTTCCACTTCCTGATTCCCACTTCCAGCATGGAAATCTGGTCCCAAATCTGTGCTTTCAACTCTCACTATGTCTGGAAGGTGATGAGGGGATTCATCATCTGAGTGTGTTCATAATTTAGACAATGCTGAACAAATTGGGATAATACTTTCAGAACATTTCAAGTGAAGTTAACTAATTCATATCTAATGGAAAATGAAGAGGACACTGCTTCTGTTTTTGTCATTCTTCCTTCAACCATAATAGATGCTGATGCATATTATTATTGTCTGTGGATCTTGTCTAGAAAATAATTATTGTACCTTTTTAAATATGAAGTGCTTTGGGAGTTTTGAGAGGTGTCATAATAAATCATCATATAAATTCAAATTATTTATTTCTTGCAGATGATTATGTGCACATTTCAAGTAAGCCTTGTGATCTTCAGTGTACTACTGCAGATGGACAGAGACAGCTAATGGTCCCAGCACGAGATGGAACATCTTGTAAATACAGGGAATACAGAGGTGTCTGTGTAGCTGGCAGATGTGAGGTTGTGACAATAATCTGCGTAGATGTGTTTTAGAATTCTCAAATCTTGTTGCTTCTTGTTTCACACTCTCCCTGTGTTCTGCAGCCCATTGGATGTGATGGGGTGCTCTTTTCCACCCAGACCCTCGACAAATGTGGTGTCTGCCAGGGCAATGGGAGCAGCTGCATCCGAGTTACTGGCAACTACAGGAAAGGAGCATCATATCTAGGTAAGAGATGTGATGTGCAGGAGTAGATCATTTGGCCCATCAAGCCTGCTTTGTCCTTCAACAAAATTAAGGCTGATCATCTACCTCAACTCCATCTTTCAGCACTGTCCCCAAATCTGTTAATTCCCATCGTACACAAAAATCTATCAACCTCTATCTTTTAATATACTGAATGACTGATCATCCACAGATCCCATGGGATGAAGAATTCCAGAAGTTGACCACATTTTGAGTGAAAAAATTTTTCTTCATCTCAGTGCCAAATGACTGGACTTTTTGTTTTGAAATTGTGATTCCATCTTTTAGATTCGTCAGCTAGAAAAAACACGCCATGGGATCCAAGGAAATTTGGCAAATTGGATCCACAATTGGCTGAACAGCGGGAAGCAGAGGGGGATGGTTGAGGGGTCTTTTACTGACTGGAAGTCTGTGTCTAGTAGGGTCCCACAGGCATCAATGTTGGGGCCCTTGCTGTTTGTGGATCAGTATGTTCAAAAACAATACAAAAATTAGTTAGGTGGTAACTAGTGAGGAGGATAACTTTGCACTACAAGAGGATATAGATGGATTGGTCAGATGGGCTGATCAGTGGAAAATGGAATTCAATCTGGATAAGTGTGAGGTGATGCACTTGGGCAGGACAAGCAGGCAAAGGAATACATGATGAACAGTAGGACCCTGGGAAGCACCAAGGATCAGAGGGACCTTTAGTGTGCGTGTACAGTTGTACCTGAAGGTATCTGCATAAGAGGACAAAGTGATTTAGAGGGCGGATAGGATACTTGCCTTCATTCGTAGAGGCAGAGTTTAAGAATAGGAAGGTTATGTTGGAACTGCATCAAACATTGATTAGATCATAGCTGGAATATTGTGCAGTTCTAGAACCCACATTACAGAAGGGAAGTGATAGAATTGGAAAGGGTGCCAAGGAGATTTACCAGGATGTTGCCTGGGCTGGAGAGTTTCAGTTCTGAAGAAAGATTGGGCAGACTGGGGTTATTTTTCTTAGAGCAGAGGAGATTGAGAGGGGACATGATTGAAACATATAAAATTATAAGGAGCATGCATAGGGTATTTTACCCTTGATGGAGAGATCAATGGGCAGGGGACAAAGATTTAAGATAAGGGGCAGAAGGTTTAGACAAAAAGGTTTAGGGAACTCGCTGCCTGTAAAGGTGGGAGAGGCAGAAACCTTCAATATTTAAATACTGGATGTGCACTTGAAATGCCAAAACATACAAGGCTATGGGCCAAGTGCTGGGAAATGGGATTAGAATAATGAGGTAATTGTTTTTGACTAGCGGGGACACAATGAGCCGAAGGACTTTTTTTATTGTGTTGTAAATCTCTGACTCTGACTAAGATGCAAAACTTGCAATAAATGGGATGGTAACATCACAATACAAAATTTGCTGCGTGACAAGAAACATTCTGTACAAATAGTCATCTTGTATCACAGAACTTGAGTATTAATGATAAAAGACTTTGAAAACTGTTGTCTTGCACTTATCGAGACAACTTGCAAGAAATACCAATGGAAAGGGATTTCCCTTTATGTTTTGTGAAATGTCTTTTCAGTAATACTCTGTATAGTTGTAAACATATGCTTATTGGACTGGAGAAATGTATATAATAGAATTCTCCAAGCATTCTTCCTTTCCTTCATTAATAAATAATGATCTAGACTTGCATGTATAGATCGCAAGTTCAAATTTATGAATGACACAAATCTATTTTGTACTGTGAGGAGGATAGTAACAATCTTCAAAAAGATTTAGATAGGTTGATGGAATGGGCAGAGAACAGGCAAATTAATTTTAATGTAGAAAGGTGTGAATTCATTCATTTTGGAAGAACAAGAAGAGACACCAATATAAAATAAAAGGTACAATTCTAAAGGACTTGCAAGAGCAGGGAGACTCATGGGTATGGGCGTATGAACCATTGAAGGCAAGTTAAGAAGGTGGTTAATAAAGTGTTTGAATTTTACCTTCATAAACATGAGCAAAAGAACAAAAACAAGGAAGTCATGATAAGCTTGACTGAAACATGGGCTCTGCCTCAACTTGGGTGTTCTTTTCTGTATTGACTAGCTCAGTATAGGAAGGATGTAAAGGCATTAGAGAGGGTGCAGAAAAGATTTGTATGAATGGTTCTGGGATAACAAAATTCAATTTTGAAAAGGGAAGAGGAGCTAAGGCTGTTCAACTTGGAGACAAGAGGATTTAAAAAAAAGAGGATTAAGAAAAGATGTGACAGAGGCATTCAAAATAATGAGGTCTGCATAGAACAAATACAGAGAGAGGAAACTTATAGGGGTCTTATCGACTTGGATAGGATTTGTGCAGAATTGGATGAGAAGTCCAGCAAGGTCTATCTTGATGTCAGGAGTATTTCACTGCATCTCTTTTTTTTGGCAAGTGGGAAGGTAAGTTTCTTGCAAGGCAATGGCAAGTTGCCAATTAAGGGGAAATTTTTGCTTGTTAAATTTCTTACTAACTTCGCAGCTTGCCTTATTTTTATCAGCTTCTTCTCTTACCAAATACGCTGAAAAAGCTGGATATCTAGAATTCTAAACATGGATGTCAGAGCAGATACCTGGCAACTTCACTTGCCACTTACTCCAAATGACTTCCATGTTAGACACTGGGCACCAGTGTTTCTGTGTAAACTCCATGTGCACTGTGGCCATGTCCACAGAAATTGGCATTTGATATGTGCCAACTTCTAAAAACCCTCAAGGCACATCTCCAATCCACTTGCAGCATACTACTGCATTTTGATGCTGTACCTTGAGATGCACTAGCGACTGTGGGCAGGGACACACACCGAGCTTGTGGAATAAATCAGGCTGTATTGCCATCCTGTTTGCTTGCTATCATAGCAATGACTCACTCTGAGCCTACCTGGACGCTGATAAGTCTGTGCCTTGCATTGCTTTTTTGTGCTTTGCCCCCTCAGCCAGAGATGTCAGGCTAACACTATACAAAAACTGAAGTTGCTGGAAAAGCTCAGCAGGTCCAGAAGCATCTGTGAAGAAAACAGTTTTGAGGAAGGGTCACCAGATCCAAAACATTAACTCTGATTTTTCTTCACAGATGCTGCCAGACCTGCTGCACTTTTCCAGCAACTCCTGTGTTTCTTCCTGATTTACAGTGTCTGTGGTTCTTTTGGTTTTTAACATTATTCTGTTTTGCCTTGCCATTTGGCGCAAACACAAAGCTAGGAATCTTGTCATGATTGTCAGTAGTCATTGAATTTTACAATAAAGAAAGAGGCCATTCAACCTATTGTCTGTACTGGAATCAGAAAGAGCTACCCAACTAGTCCCATTCTCCAGCCCTATCTCTCCATAGCTCTCTAAACTCATCACTTTCAAATATATATCTAGTTGTCTTTTGAAACCACATATGGAATCTGCCTGTTCCACTCTCCCAGGCAGCTCCTTCCAAATCCTAACAATTGGGTAAAGATGTTTTTACTCCTCTCACTCCCAGCAATCTTGGTGACAAGAGAGTTACAGACTTGCCAACTAGTGGAAACAGAATATCCTTCTTTACTGTGTCAAAATTGTTCATAATTTCAAACACCTCAATAAAGTTGCCTCTTAATCCTCTCTCCTTTGAGGAGAATAAACCCAATTTCTCCATTCTTTGCTTGTATCTAAAATACCTCAGTCCTGGTATTCTAGTAAATTTTCGTTTGACCACTCTCCAGGGATTTAACGTCCTCCTTTGAAATACTGTGCCCAGAACTGAACACAGCACGCCAAATGTGGTCTGACCAATGATTGTTGAGGTGTAGCATTCTGTCCTCTCTTTTGTACTCTATGCCTCTACTTATAAACTCAAGAATCTTTTAAGATTTCTTAACAACTGTTTCAACTTGTCACTTTCCGATAGCTTGAAGTTGTACCATTGAACCTTTTTGTCTTTCTGTGTTTCTGCCAAAATGCTCACTTCACATTTCTCTACATTGTAATTCATCTGCCAGTTATCTGTGCATTTGGTTGCTGAGCATCATCCTAACAATTCACTATTCTCCTTAGCTGAGTATCATCTGCAAATTTGGAGATTTTTTCCCCCAAATGCATATCTCCAAATCGTTTATACCATCAGAAAAATGGTCCCAACGCTGTTCCCTGTGGAACACCACTTTCAATTTGTCTTCAATCTGAGAAATGTCCATCTATAACTACCCTCTGTTTCCTATCTTTTTCCTAACTTCTAATCCATATTGTCAAGGACTCATCAATCCCTAACATTTCTAATTTGCTAATCAACCTGCATATGACACTGTATCAAATGCTTTCTGAAAGTCCAAATATACAATATGCACAGCACTACCCTCATTCACTGCCCGTGTCATCTCTTGAAAAGAACTCAATTAAATCTGTCAGACATGATCTGCCCTTGACAAAGCCATGTTGACTGTCGAGTATTAGCTTATTTTGCTAAGTGTATATCCTTTTATTATGGCCTCCATCATTATTCCCACTATTGAAACACGGATAGTCAATACAGGTTCAATGGGACAACTTTTTGAGGGAAGTACAGGAGCAGAGTGACCTCAGGGTTCATGTGACGTCAAGCTCACAGGCTTGTAGTTTCCTGGCTTATCCATTGCCCCTTTCTTAAACAGGTATTACATTTTCAATCCTCTAGTCCCCCAGAATTAATCCTGTGTTCAGAAAACCTGGAAAATTTCTGACAACCACTCCTCGTTCCTGGCTTACCTATCTTAGCATTCTAGGTGCATCCCATCCAGGCCTGGCGTCTTCGCTACCTGGAGTGTTGCCAGATTTTTTTGTTAGGCCTCTTCTTTGGCACTATACTGCTCAGTTGCACTAACCCACATTTTCAACTAGGCCATTGTTTCAATTTTCTAATGTGGTATAGACAGAAGTAAACTACTTGTTTAGTACCTCTGTCATACCTTCTGCTTTAGTGAGCAGCTTACCCTGCTTGTTCCTTATTTCTATTTCTATTGCTATTATTATTCCTGTATGCATCATATGGCTGCTTTCTGTGGATCTTTTTCATCAATATCTTTAGTCATTCAGGGTACCCTAGCAGCGAAAACTATTTATTTCTCATGGGTATGTAACTAACTCGCAACCTATTTATTTCTTGTTTGAAATTCTCCCATTGTTCATCCCACTGTTTTATTCCCCAAAATGTGCCTTCTAGCAACCAGCTTCATTTCAACTTTTAGACCCATAAAATCTGTCCCTTTCCAGTATGGAATCTTTGTAATTGATTTTATGCCTTTTCCAATGTAATATTGAACCTCTTTATTACATTATGATTGCTATTTCAGAATTACTCCCCACTCTGACATTCTCTACTTGGCCTGCCTCATTTCTTAGGGCCAGATCCAGCAGATCTCCCTCCTTGGTGGGACCGGAAATGTACTGTTCCAGAAAGTTCTCCTGCATGCTTTGCAGGAACTTCTCTCCCTTCCATGCACCACACTATGCCTTTTTCCCACTCCACCCTAGGGTAATAGAAATCATTAACTATCACAAACTGACGTCCTGCATATTTCCATAGTCTGCTATAAATATTCTCTTCTACTTCCTCCCCACTATTTGAAAGTCAATAATAAATAGCTAACAAGATCACTGCTTCCTTCCTGTTTCTCACCTCCAGACATACAGATTCTAATTCAGGAACTGCATCTTGTTCAAGGGCAATGATGCTATACTTCCTCCCTTTTTACCCACCCTGTATCTACGGAAAACCTTATAATCTGGGATGTTAAGTATCCAGTCCTGTTCTGGCTTGAGACATGTTTCTATTAATGCTACAGTGCATCTATCAAGAGCACTTTCTGCTTCCAGTTCCCCAATTTTGTTCACAATAACCTGTGCCTGCCTTGACCTTATCTCTTTCTTGCCCATTTGAAGGCAGCCATTACTTTGTTTACTGTTAATACTGAAGCCTTCCCCCATTCCTTTACTTCATTCCCCATCTTCTCTCTTTTGCCCTCTCTGGTACTTCCAAAAGTAGGCCCATTAGTCAACTCACCCCTCTGGCTTACAAGTTTAAATCCACCTCTACTACATGATATACTCTATCAATCAGGAGACCAGTTCTATTTCTACTCAGTTAAGGCCCATCTCATCTGATCAGCATTGTCCTTTCCCATACATAATCTCAGTGTCCCAAAAAGCTAATCCTTTCCCTTCTACATCACCCCTCAAATCACACATTTACCTTTCTGATCTGCCTTTGCCTAAAGAGTGAAACTCATGGCACAAGTAGTATTCCTGAGATTGCTGCCCTAGAAGTCCTACATTTCAGCCGACTCATTAACTCCTAAAACTGATCCTGCAAGTCCTCCACCTTATCACTTCCCATGTTGTTTGTTCCCTTATGAGCCATAACCACCAGTTGTTCATGCTCCCTTTCCAGAAGTTTATTCAGTTGTTCTGTTATGTCCCAAAACTTTACACCATGTGGCATCAAGACCATAAGGGACTCTCGATCTTGGCTGCAAACTAAACTGTCTATCCGTCAAACTATTGAGTCACCCACTACTACTACTTTTCTATACTGCCTACCAGTCCTTCTGACTTTTCCCAGAGTAGCCTCGGGCACCGTTGTGATATGGTTTTCCCTCGTGTCATCCACCCCCGATTCAGTCATTTTGCTCACAAAATAGACATCTCAAATTTCATACCTGTTGAACCGCTCCAAGGTGTCCTGGATTTTCTGGATCAGCTGTCTCCTTGCCTTTTGGTGAATGGTCGCCAGCTCATCTGGCATCTGTGCACTCCTCCTTGTTTGCTTATCATGATGTGGAGTGACCACTGTCTGGTTTGGTTGTTCTAGAAACCTTTCTCCTTCTTGTGTGAGGGTCAGTGAGGAGAGTTGCTGCTCCAAGTCAGTTGCTGCTGTTCTCTGATACTTTAATGTGATTGTCCTGGATCCACAAGACATCCAAAACCTGCCTCTTTTTACATGCCACGTAAATCACAAGCTTTCCCAGAGCCCCTGCCACCTTTACTGGTCAAGATGAGGCAGACTGCTGAAGCTTTGCTTTTTCTAAGCCACAAATAAATGTTCTAACAGCCCCTCTCTTTATTTTTTTGGTTCAAGGAGGAGGGTAACACCACAGTACTGTGATATTTGGGGCTTCACTGTTCTTTGACAGGGGATTCCCCACTTCTTAGTCATGGTGAGTGAGCCTACCTCTCCCAGAATTTTCTTTGCTTCCGATTTACAACTTTTTCCCAAAAGTGATTCCAATGTCCCAAAAAAATCTAATCCTGTCCTTTCAACATCACCCCTCAAACCATGCGTTTAACTCTGTGATCTGCCTTTGCCTAAATGGTGAAGCTGCCCTTTGTCCTCAGTCAAGTCAGGGAGATGGCTTTCATTCAGGGGGTGCCAGCACTGTAAGTCGAGGACAGCATATGACACCAGTCCACGGGCTTGGACACTGTCAGTCAGCTGCTCAGGATAGTCAGTCAGAATGACTCCACACAGTAGTGAAGAGCCAAATATTGTGCAGCTCATTACCAGTCTTCACTCTTTTTTTCCTCTATTGTGGGCTGTTTTTCTCCTGGAATAAGCGCGAGAGAGACAGATATTACAGAAGATGGAAGTTAGTCTCACAGTTAGCTTCAGCTGGGGAAGTGTCCCCAGTGAGAGTAGGCAATGCAGAGGATAAGCAGGGTTAGTGCCGTCGAGGTTTGAGGTGAATGAGAGCACATGGGAATGTTGCAAACAATAATGAGTGATTGAGCATACTTCTTGGTGGGAGTTGGGTGCAGTAGCAGAGATATAGTGAGCTATTGAAGGGAAGCTGGTGGCACTCATGGCAGAGTGGGGAAGGTCATTGACCTTTTCTACATCATTGTGCATTCCTCAAGATGGTTTGAGGCTGATTTAATACCAGCAGCAATCCAGGACCAGGCTAGTATGGTCTGGTATCATAGCTCTATTTCTGGTCCTGGGTGAAAAGGAAGTCCCACATCTGCACCACCCCATCTAATGATCCCTGCTCTCTGAGGCCCCAGGCAATGCTTGTCAGGGTGCCTAACATGCTTTTAAAAGATGGCACTATGTAGCAGGCCAATTAATGGTCAATTCTGTCCAGTGCTGAGTTGTTCCAGCCATGATGCATGATAAAGTGGGGCTAGAATCGGACAAGAGGAACATCATGGGTTAGGTAGTTAATGATACTGCGAGAAAACCCATTAGACCTAATGGCGAGAAACCCTATAGAAAATGAGAATCAACTTGCATTTTGTCAAAGCAAAACTCAACCTATTCCCATTGGCAGGAGAATTGAGGAACAACTGGACACCGAATTAAGGTGTGTCAAAAGAAGCCAGGGTGACATGACAAAACATTTTTTGTGTTAAGGATTTAGAACACACTGTCCAAGAGTATGGCAGACTGAATCAATTAGTTATCTGAAAAGAAAATATGCATAACTATGGGGAGAAGATGGAGTGGGACAAGATGAGTTGGTCTTGCTAAGCCCTGATACAGAAACCCAAAGGGCTGAAGACCTGCCTTCCTGTGATCATTCTTTGATTTTGTAACTTGTTAAATTCTTGCTCACTCATCCAACCTGTCTACTCTTCTGTAGTCTCTTGGCATTCTTTTCACCACTTATTGTCAATGTTCCCTCCTCCTAATTTCTGTGCAAGGTAATCAGAATCAGCTCGGTTCCAGAAGTCACTGCTACACATGGACCTCAGAGGTTGCAGAGCTGGAAAGTCATCTAGACTGGATATGAAGGACTTTCTCTGTTATAGTGATGGTGGTGTGCTGTCCTGTGCATAATGGCATCTGTACCCACACTAATTCCAAAATGCAAAGTCTTTACTTGCATGTCAGCAAACTTGGCTATGTTGCCCCATTCTCAATGTTCACTATCATTCTTAGAATGTGTGGACAATTTGCTTAAATGCATGTTTCCTTTTCATTTTTCTTTTTCTGTTTCTTTTGCACAATTATCTACACATAATACTTTATAGACGACAACTTGAGCACGGCTTGTGCAGAAAATTTAGAATTGTTGTATGTCATGAGGAGCTTAGAGAGAACATTGCTTAATCCCCTGATCTGAGCCATTAATATGAATTGTTTAATTCTTTGGTGAGCAGAATCTTCTTATAATGGAGTTCTTCAAATAGCTGCAAGGAACCTGTGACTGAAACTGCCTGCTGTCAGACGTGGCGAAGTCTGTGCTGCACCGTAGTTCATGTAGAACTCCTGATAGAGCCACCATAACTGATTAAAAGACTCAATTGATTATTGTCCTCCATCTTTTTCTTTTCTTCCTGAATCATGTTAAGATACAGTGTTATGGATAAGTGACATTTCTTCATGTGTGGATCTAGGTAGTGTTATAAATTCAACTACAATAGTCATCATATCTGAGACTGATCATACCTGTGTATTTTCCAGAAGACGTCTATCCATATTTGGGCATATAGAATGTAGGTGCACTATAAACCTCTGGCCCCAGCTAATGATCATCACCTGACTTTTATTGCTTTCTCAACCCATTAAATCTTGTGATCTGTATTTTTTTTACCCTAAGGTATTAAGGTGTGAGGTCCATTTTGCCAGGTAAACCTCTCAGCTCGTAGAGCTATGCTATGATGTTGGTTACTTGCAGATTGACATGGACTTCGGTATGAACATTTATTAAATTGTTTCCTAGGTTATTCTCTGATAACCCACATCCCAGTTGGTGCAACAGATATCCAAATAATTGAAAGAAAGAAATCAGATGATGTTTTGGGTATGTATAAGGGTATCTGAAGTTATCTGTATCTTTGTTTATTACAAGTTTGTGCTCTCTGTTATCACCTGGCTAACAGTTATAGTATATTTGCTTGGCCCAGTGTTTTACTAATAAATAGTGAATTGTAAATATGTATCTTTGTAATCTTGTATATTATTCATCTCTGCTAGCATCAACTGTTCTGATTTGAACATTTTAATGTGCTCTACGGTGAATATAAAATGTGATTTTTATGAGTTCTGTGGGGCTGGGGAGGTGTGAATGGTAAGTTGGGATTAGATTAATAGTTAAACAGCAGTTCGATTGAGTTATCAATTGTCTTTTCCCGAGTAACTAGAAACTGCAGTGGAATTCTCCCAATTCTCAGCTTTTAAAAAATGGATTCTTATGGATGGTACCTGGTGCGTGGAATTACCCATTGGAATCTTCAGTTTCCCGGGCAATTCCCTTGGAGTTTGCTTCCAGAGCCCCAGCATTTAACTCCAGTCTATGCTGCAGAAACTATTATCTGGCCAGCAGAAAATCCTAACCATTCTCGTCCATAAGAGAGAATCTCCTAAAGAGCTGTCGTTATGGTTGTTTATTTCCCCTCAAAATAGAATAGAAGAGGAGCGCTTACACTGAAAGCTTCTGTTCCTTTGTCATCACGAGTAGCAGTTTGTACTGTCAAAATACGTGGCTTGCTGCCCTTTCTAAAGACAGGGTTAATTCACCCATGTGGAGTCATTCAGGCTCCAATGAACCTTGCGTTATAATTTCTAGGTTTGGTGTTGTGTCTTTTAGTAAATCTGAAACAATGGCAGTGACATCCTGTGGAACAAATGAGTTTTGTCTGTGCTTTTATCTACCCCACCAGCTGTTGCAGATGAATCTGGAAATTTCTTTGTGAATGGCAATTTAAAAGTGGAAGGTCCAAGAAACTTTCACCTTGCGGGCACCATTTTTAAATATAGGAGACCAATGGATGTGTATGAAACTGGTATTGAATACATTGTGGCTCAAGGACCAACTGATCTGGGAGTTAATATTCTGGTAAAACCTTAATTCTTTCAAACATAAAATTCATATTCATCAAAATTTGTTTCTGCAGATTTATGAAAGTAACAATAGCAATATAGCTTTAAAATGTTAAACTTTCCACTGAAAGAACAAAATGTGCTGTTTTTGAATGTGCTGAGCAAGTGTCAATCATAATGGCAGATATATCCAAAATTTCTTTCCTGGTTTTGTGCAAACAAATGTATATTCCAGATACAGTAAACTGTTAACCAGGTCACATTGTTAATAACAGTTTGCTCACACTTCTCAACCAGCAGAAAATTAAAAAAAAAATTAAAATAGGAATACGCCATAAGGTCCCCAGAGCCTGTTCTGATCCTCTGTCTCAGCTTCATGTTTCTGCCCACTTCCATTATCACAGTTCCCTGAGGGATCAAAAATCTGTCTGTAGTTCTGAATCCATCTGAATATGTTTGACATTGGAGCATCCGTAAACTGTCTGGGCTAGACAGTTCCAATAATTCTTGGAGTAAAAGAACTTCTCTACTCTGTCCTGAATGATCGTCTCCTTATCCTGAGACTGTTCCGTTGTGTTTTGTTGTTTCCTCCTGGGAAATCTCCCTTATCCTATTAAACCCCTTTGGAATGTTGTATATTTTAATGAGATCACCTCCCATTTTTCTAAACTTTGGAGGCTATAGACTGAATTTGCTCTGTCTCTCAACACAGGACAACCCTCGATGCAGAAACCAATGTAGTTAACATTTACGGTACTGTCTCCAATGCAAATCAATCCTTCCTTACACAGTACCCCAGGTGTGCTCTCACAAGTCCTGTACTTTGTACAAAGACTTTCTCATTCTTGTACTTCAAGCCTTTGTAATAAAGCCAACATGGCAGTGGCCTTCCAAATTGCTTGCTGTACCTGAATGCTAATTTCCTGTGTTCCTTGTACCAGTATACCCAACATTAAGCAGTTTCACTTCTTTTAAAAATATTGTTTGTTTTTATTCTTAATAACAAAGTGAATAATCTGATTAACATCTAAGTACCATTCACCCCACACAAGTGCCAGGCAATGAACATCTCCAAGAGAAAATTCAACCATTGCCCCTTGATATCAATGGCATTGCCATCACTGAATTTCCCACTATCAACTCCCTGGGATTACCACTGACCAGAAACTGAACTGGACTAGACATATAAATACTGTAACTATAAGAGCAGGTCAGAGGCTAGGAAACCTGCAGGGTGTAACTCACCTTACTACTCTCTAAAGTCTGTTCACCATCCACAGAGCACAAGTCAGGAATGTGGTGGAATTTTCCCTGCTTGCCTGGATGAATGCATCTCCAACCCTGAAGACACATATGCAGGGTAAAAGCAACCATTCACCATCTATAATGTCAATCCCTTCAGTGCACAGTGGCAGCAAACAAGTATTATGTACAAGATGTATTGTAGTAACTCACCAGGCCTCCTTCAACAGAACCCTCCAAAACTCAACTTCCACCACCCAGAAGGACATGGGTAGCAAATGTACAGAAACACTACAAGTTCTCTTACAAACCACAGACTATCCTGACTTGGAACTAAAGCACTGTTCTTTCACTGTTAGTGTCAAAATCTTGGAACTTCCTCCTTAACAGCACTGTGGGGGCCCTGTACCCCAAGAATTGCAGTAGTTCAAGAAGGCAGTGCACCACCACCTTCTGCAGGGCAATTAGGAAAGGAAAATGAATGCAAGTCTCAAGGCAGTGATGTTCACATCCTCTGAACAAATAAATAATTGATTAAAAAGGTAACTTTACATCTTCCATTTAAATAGCGAACTAACAAAAGTGCAAAATGAGATCAAAATTATTTAAATAATTGTCCAAGTTATTTTGGATCAGGAATTGAACCTCACACACATCTATGTTGAAATCATTTACCAATTGCATAATCAGTTGCGATTGCTGCCATTGTGGCAGAGGTTACCCAATGGATAACCTGGACAATGCAGCATTTCTGAAAGAGTGCTCTCCCCGAGTTATGGCTTTTCTTATCCTCCCATCCTATTAGACCTTCCAAGCATTAGAAATAGAATCATAGCAACCCTACAGTGTGGAAACAGGCCATTTGGCCCAGCAGGTCAATACCGACCTTCTGAGAATCCCATCTAGAGCCCCCTTACCTTATCTCTGTAACTCTACATTTCATATGGCTAATCCACCTAGTCTGCACATCCCTGGACACTATGGGCAGTTTAGTATGGCCAAAGCACCTAACTTGCACATCTTTGGACTATGGGAGGAAACCGGAGCACATGGAGGAAACTCTCACAGGCACAAGGAAAATGTGCAACTCCAAACACAGTGCCCAAGGGTGGATCAAACCCAGGTTCCTGGCACTGTAAAGCATGTGAGTGCTAACCACTGAGCCACCATGCTGCCTGTCAAATGCCAAAGCATTACCAATTGGGTGTGGTTTCTCTATAAAGCTACTCTACATATTGAGTTTATGAATTGCACAAACTTGTCTGAGGTCTATGTGGTCCTATTCTTCCTACTAAAACAGACCACCTCACATTTATATGGATTGAAAGATCATCTTGCAAGATTATTATGGCCTTCTATTGATTGTATTGTTCTTCTTGCAATAACTTTCATAATAAATGGAAAGCTCAGAAGGGAAGTAAAGAAGCAAGTAAGAGAAACAGAAAGCATGAACAGACAATGGAATTCAAAAGTCACAAAGGAATTCTCAAGTGTTCTATAGCCATATAAGTAGTTAAAAGGAAGTAAAGGATGGATGGGTCTGCAAGATGTGGGCATTGCTGGCTAGATTGGCATTAATTGGCCATTGCTAACTGCTCTATGGATGCTGTTGAGCTATTTTGAACTGCTGCAGGCTATGATGGGTACGTACATGTGCAGTGTCCTTTACAAGGGAGTTCTAGGATTTTAACCTAGCGCTAGTGAAGCAATGGCAGTATCAGTTTCAAGTCAATGATATGTAGCTTGGCAGGGAGCATGCAGGTGGTATTCACGTGCATCTGCTGCTGTCCTCTTTCTAGTAGGTAGAATTTGCAGGTTTGGAAGTTTGTGTCAAAGGAACTATGGTTATTTGCTGCAGTCATCTTGTAGATACTACATTTCTCCTGTGAAATAGTAGTGAAGAGAGTGAATGTAAAGCTGGTGGATGGAGTGTCAAACAAGCAGCTGCATTGTCCTGGATGGAATCAAGCTTTTTGTGTTGTTGGTGCTGCCCTCATCCAGGCAAGTGGAGGATATTCCATCATAGTCCTGACTTGCCCCCTATGAGTAGTAAACCAAGTTTTTGGGAGTCCGAAGGTAATTTATTCCAACAGAATTTCCAGCATTTGACCTGTTCTCTTAGCCACAGTGTTTAAATGAACAGTTTAGTCAGTTCCTGGTCAATGGTACCACTCAGATGTTGAGTGTTGCTAATGCTATTGAATGCAGCTTTTGCTGCATCTGGACACAGACTGCTCAGTACCTGGGTGGCGGGGTGGGGGGACGAATGGTGATGAACATTGTGAAATCATCAGTAAACATCCCCACTTTTGACTTACAAGAGAAGGAACAACATTGAAGCAGCTGAGGTTGGTTTGGCCTGGAACACTAGCTTGAGGAATTCTTGGATAAGTTTCCCTATGATTCCCAATGAACATAGAACATAAAACATTACAGCGCAGTACAGGCCCTTCGGCCCTCGATGTTGCACCGACCTGTGAAACCAATCTGAAGCCTATCTAACCTACACTATTCCATTATCATCCATATGTTTATCCAGTGACCATTTAAATGCCCTTAAAGTTGGCGAGTCTACTACTTTTGCAGGCAGGGCATTCCATGCCCTTACTACTCTCTGAATAAAGAACCTACCTCTGACATCTGTCCTATATCTATCACCCTTCAATTTAAAGCTATGTCCCCTCGTGCGAGCCATCACCATCCAAGGAAAAAGGCTCCCACTGTCCACCCTATCTAATCCTCTGATCATCTTGTATGTCTCTATTAAGTCACCTCTTAACCTCCTTTCTCTCGAACAAAAACAGCCTCAAAACCCTCAGCCTTTCCTCATAAGACCTTCCCTCCATACCAGGCAACATGCTGGTAAATCTCCTCTGCACCCTTTCCAATGCTTCCACATCCTTCCT